CATTAATAATTACTTTACTTAGTTACATATCAAGACATGCACAACCTAAATACTCTGTAAAGCAATTGACCTTTCAGACTAATTCTGATCTTTTTGCATCACATGAAATTGAAATTGAATTAAATTGTACATTTAAACTTATTTTCTGCACATTCCTACATATTTTAGTAAAAGTTTATATTCATATTTAAGTTTAAATTAAATCTATATTTCTGCATATCCCAGTATATAATACAATTCTTTTTTGTGTTTTTAGGGTTAGGGTTAGTAAATAAAATAAAATACAGCAAAAACATAATTGAGGTCAATGTCTCTGTATTCCAAATTAATAAAATTCAAATGCATATTTAGATGTACTGTATATGTGTGTAGGTATATGTATGTGTGTGTGTACGTACATATGTATATGTATAGTGCATATATGTGGATGTGGGCGTATGTACACTGTATGTATATATATATATGCATATTTATAACTTATATGCTAGTTATAAATATACTACTAATATCTGTCCTATATAATATTATATTATATATGGATAGTAGCTCTTAGTAATAATGTTTGTATAAATCTGGTCGACATCCGCCGGAATTGCCTATATAGCTAACTTTTTATCTAAGTTAACTATTTAATTCCTCAACTATTTATACTGTTCATATATTTGAACTATCCATCTATCGAACTACAGTGGTATGAAAAAGTTTGGGCCACCCCTGATCATTTTCAAGATGTTCCTTTATGTATCATTGGTTGTTCGGAACAGCAATTTCATTATATGTTCAGTACTAAATGTCCGAATGCAGTTGTTTAAGATCGTGTGTGGTGTTTTTAAATCATATATGATTTGAAAAATTATTTTTTATCAGTATTTTGTTTTATCAATTACTAGACATTTCTGGCAACCCTATTTATATTGCAGGCAACCCTATGATGAATGTTGAAAAACACTGGTTTATGGTATACATACACCTTTACCACATGACTGTTAACTGATTAGCCATAATGCTAATGCTAGGTGATCATTCCGATTTGATTTAGATAGGTAGGAAGTGACATTTGATAAAACACGACGGAGCAAAATAAGGTTGCTTTTTAAAAAGTCTTTCAGATACTCACAGGTGTACATTGAATTGGACCTTGTGGACAGATTGTAATGTTACACTGGTACTTGTTCTTTTTATGTGGTTGTTTAAGAATCAAAATTGTTTGTGTGTTTCAGGGTCACACCCAGACAGTGCGCAGTCTGGCCTTCAGTCCAGATGGGAAGTGGTTAGCTTCTGCTGGAGACGACTGCACTGTCAAGGTACAAACATGCAGATTTTAAACTGCGGTTGAACAGTAATATTCACGGCAAAATCTGACATTGAGATATTGTTACAGGTCAAATAGATTGCATAACACATCTCTGCCTAATTTGATAAAATTACTCACTGCAAACACAGTGTGAGTATTTACACCTGCATTTCATTCTCGCATCCTATTTTCAGCTGTGGGACCTGACTCAGGGAAAGACAATCACAGAGTTCAAGTCGCACACTGCAGCTGTCAATATTGTGCAGTTCCATCCTAATGAGTATCTTTTGGCATCGGGGAGCTGTGACAGGTATGACGTATCACGTAAACTTTTCACATGAATAACGTTTATTGCCTGAAATATACGGGCAAACGAAGTTCACGCCGCTAGCGATCAATGACTTTTCTGGTAGGCTGCTGTGTGTTATACTAGTAGTGTATGTCTGTCTGTGAACGGCTGTGAATGTGTGTGTATATGTGCATGTGGGGTGCGAAAGGTGAGAGCAATTGGAGCCCTGTCACGTTGAAGCGTGAGTTGGTTATACAAGAGCTGTTACTGTTTCTGTTTACCTCTGCTGCGGACAAGCACAAAAGTGAGGGGAGTTAGCCTTATAGCTAATGTAAGCTTCGGCCCTGGAGCGGATTAACAAGTCTCCCCTGTGCTTTCCAACTACTGTCAGGGCTCCGAAGCAGTAAAGAGCTAGATATATAGATAGATAGATAGCACTTTATTAATCCCTTTTGAGTTCCCTTTGGAAAATTTAGGCTCCAGCAGCAGTACAGCACCAATATAAAATAAAATAAAAACACACAGATAGGTTAAAAAACAATAAAATAAAGTACAATAAAATACAAACAAGAGTAGCAGCACACTGTCAGTGAATATTGGAAACCTGAAAAGTGGATGTTAGTGGATTAGGTTAGTAGAAGTAGATAGAAAGTGTTAGTAGTATCAGTAGATTAGTAGGTGATTATTGTTGCCGTGTATATTGTGGCTGATCTCAATTATTATTTACTATTATAGTTCAATTATACCATTGTTAACAATTACTACACAATACTAATTTAAACAGAACTAGGATAATTATAAGGGTGCTATGTGAGCAGGTGTATAAATAGTTTAAATATATGCATGTAAGTTATAAATATGCATATATATACATCCACATATATGCACTATACCAGGCATGGCCAACCTGTGGCCAACCATGCGGCTCTTTGCCCGGTTTCATGCGGCTCTTACGTTCATATGAAATTTTATGTTTGTGTTTTTTTTTACTCTCATGCCAATGGGCGTTGACGCAAATTACTTAGGGAAAACCCAATTGACAAAGATGAAGTCATGTATACAGGAAGTTTTAAAAGAGTTTTATTTATTTATTTATTTTTTAAAGGGATGGAGCAGTTTATGTGTGCCCATATATGTATATCATGCGGCTCTTTGCAGTAACACGGTAAAAATTGTGGCTCTTAGCCTCTTGACTGGTTGGCCACCCCTGCACTATACATATACTGTACATATGCACGTACACACATACATATATATATACCTACACACATATACATCAATATATGCATACACATGTACAGACATAAACATACATCACCATTGCGTGAGCATACATATATATATGTGTATATACATATATACATACTGTATATATATATATACAGTATGTATATATGTATATATATATATGTATATATATGTGTATATATATATATATATATGTACATATATATACATGTATATATATGTACATATATATACATGTATATATATGTACATATATATATATATATACACATATATATACATATATATATATACATATATATATATATATAATCTTTGGGGTGTGCGGGAGAAGGCTTTGCGCAGCGGTCAGACTCTACCAGCGTCAATGCAAGATCTTGGTGAAAAATGAATGCAACACCGGATGGAAATAAATCTTGTGACATTGCAGAAGCTTATCGAAACAACGCCACAGCGAATGCGTGCTGTAATCAAAGCTAAAGGCGGTTCAACGAAATATTATATATAGTGTATGACCCTTTTTTTTTGGTGGTGACCTTTTTTTTTGGCCAGGCAGTGTACCTTTGCTTGACAAGGAGCATATGTTAGCGGACCAATCGTAGTGGACCTGGTTAGGTTAGCTGCTAAAGATTGAAGTTATCTCGCTGCTGCAATTGTTGCAAGAATCACCTCTGATCTTAAAACAGTTAAATTAAAAGAAGGTGCCAATGAGCAGTAGCGCCATGTCATTAGCGTTCACTCAACAAAATAAAGCTAGCTTGATTGTTATTAATGACAGACTCATTTTTATTGCATCAACCTAAATAAGGAATCATGTACCTACTACAAAACATATAATCAGAAACAACCAACAATAACTAATTGTGTTTTTTTTTCCCCATTGCAGCACCATCAAGCTGTGGGATCTGGAGAAATTTGTCATGGTTGGTTCACTGGAGGGCGATATTTCTCCCATAAGGTGAGTGTTGCTCGTTCAAAAAACTTGGCAACTTGGATATGACCCTTGACCTGTCTCCTTTGCTTCCAGGTGTTTATCTTTCAGCCCAAATGGTAGCTGCCTGTACAGTGGATCCAAAGACTCTCTGCGCGTCTTTGGCTGGGAGCCTGACCGCTGCTTTGACGTTGTAAATGTGGGTTGGGGCAGAGTTTCAGATCTGGCAGTCTGCAACCAGCAACTGGTATGTAGTTCCCAATTATACATGACTTAAAAGTCTCACTTTTTTTTTATGCCTGACCTTTTTGCATTTGTCTATGTTGTTCCATAGATTGGTGTGTCTCACCAGCTGTCCAGTGTGTCCTCGTACGTTGTTGATTTAAAGAGAATAAAACAGAGCAGCGGCTCTGTCATCAAAGGAATCGTCCAGAACAATGAACCTCTCGCTGAACCAAAAGATGTAAAAGGGGCTGCATTGCGGAAGAGCTATGAAAGACCAACAACTACTTGTGGCTCGCAGAGGTATGTTATACAGGCCGGAAAATATAGACTCTCTGATTGTGTCAAATAAATATTAAGGGATTATAAAAGAGCCCCTTTGTAATCATCAAGGATGCACAGAATATTCGGCCACCAGAAACTTTTTGGCAAGAAATGATCGATGATATTTTCGACCAAAAATACTTTTACCACAGAAACGGCACGGCCGAAACAGGATGTTGTGATAACACGAGCACAAAACGTCGGCCAGATCTGCGTTCTAAAGATCATTACTTTGACATGTTAATAAAGCATTGCACCCGAAAAAATGATCCAGGCCACGATGGATGCGGAGAACCTGCTTTAGAGACAGAGAAAAAAAAAAAAGATGGAGAGCATAGCCTAGAATAATTTGTGATTTCGTTACTGTACAATCATCTCATATGTACTGATATCACAAGCCACGCCTTCCATTTTCTATCCGAATGAAGATTTGCAAAATGACCTTCACCACTTAGCCCCACCCCAATCTTTTTTACACCACAGATCCGGTTAAATGTCTGAATTTTTTTTCAACAATCGGCATTAAAAACTTACGTTTTTTTTTTCTAAATATAATAGAGGGAAGTGTGGGTGTCCCTGCTCAGACCGTTACTACCGCTACCCGGTCCTGGATAAGCGGACAATAATGAATGGATGGATGGATAATAAAGTTAAGCCATTGTGTATGCAACTTCATTAGCAGCGTCCTTGTAACATTGTGCTTGCCTTTTAATGCCAAGCGCGGGCTTGGTGCGCGGAAACAACCTGTCACAAGTGCATATATTTCAATAGGACCCCCAGAATTGTCCGTTAAATGCAGCTTTCTTTTTAATTATGAATTAACAATAATTCTGATCGTTCATAAATGAATCCATGGCTAAACCAAAACCGCAGTTTTGTCAGACAGATATTATGGTTTTATTTTCTCCCATTGTCACATGCTTTGATATTGTCAGCGTGAAGCAAAGGGCGGACACGGATCGACCAAGCCCTGATGGTGAGCGGCGAAGTCCCAGTGAAGATGAGGCGGATGAGAAAACGTCGTCGGCGGAGATACATAACGCTGAAGACCACAAGGAAATCTTTCAACCCAAGAACCACATCTGTATGTTGAATCGTTTTTCTCTTTCTCTGCCGACGTTATTTTGGTTTGACAGTCCGATTGTCAACGATAAATCACACGAGCAAGGGATTTTATAGTATTTCAAGTGTTTTGAACACATGTCCCCAAGCCTAATTAAAGTATTTTAATTCCAAAAACTTCTCATGCAGCTCGGACTCCACCCAAGATGTCTGAACCTTTTCCTGCTCCTCCAGAAGACGGTAAAAACTAGATAAATGGCCGGTTTTGTCACTTAGCTGAGACAAGTATCTGACTTATACGCAGGTACGACTTATATATTAAAATATATAATAATATTGAAAAAAAAAAAGTGAAATATTTGTCCGCTTCCTTAATCAACAAGCCCGCACTACTACTACTGAAGATTTCCGTGTTTGTTATTTTGATACTGACAGCCACTAAAGAGCACTTGTGCGCGACTTATACTCCAAAGCGAATTATATGTGTTTTTTTTCTTCTTCGTTCTGCATTTTTTTTGGCTGGTGCAACTCATACTCCAGAATGACATATAGTCCGGGAAATTCAGCATGTAGTTGTTTCTGCTCAGTCAGATTGATTGGTTATTAAGGGGAAAAGGGTAAAAAGATCCACTGTAGGCGAGCCATGCTTCTCTTTATCATCCTCAGTTTTCTTATAAATAGGAACACACTTTAAAATCTCACATAGGTTTTAAAAAGAACTTTGGAAATATGTTTGACATTTTCAGTTTGATCATAAGTATTTTTTTTCACCTTCAGTCAGGTGGCTGTTTCTCTTAACGCCACACATCACAGTGGAGCAGAAATGATGGAAACTTTAAACCGGGGAACAATTTGAAAATGCTGATGCTGCATGCCGATTCCAAAAATAGTAGTCAGTTATTTTTCTAGCACATACATTTTTTTTTGTCTCCACAGCTTACCCTCCAGATGTGCAAAATTCCACCGATTAGCTGTAGAAAGCTAGCATAGTAGGATTTCTGCATAACATGTCTTGCCATAACATTTTTAAGAAAACGGGGATGGTATAGTTCAAAAACTTGTGACGTGATAGAGAAAAACTGAGATGAGTTTTGAATTCGGCACCGAAAAAAAAAAATAGTTAAAAACAGCTGTCAGACCTAATTCAACAAAAATGGTGTTCCCAGTGGTATTGCTTTTGGTATTAAGGACAAATATTTCGCACCTTTTTATTGTCTAAAACGGTGTCTTCAAAAACATTTGAAATATATTTTGGAATAACATAGGTTGTATGTCGGAGGGATTTAAGTAGTTTTACACCATAACTATGTAAAAAAAAAAAAAAATGTTTTCCTTTTATTGTTTACTTCTGTATAGACGACAAACTAAAAGCCGGCTAGGAATTGTGATCAATGTGTCATCCTTCTCGTTATTTCAGAGACATTCGTAACAACTGGCCACCAACTGAGCGACGTGATGTCGCCGTTTATCGGAAAGATGCAGGTCAGTGCAATGCAGCAGTAGTTATTGGAGGTTGTGCAGCTCTTTCATGCCCGGGCACAAATGAGTACACACCACCAGATTTGTCGGAAAACCTCTAGTTTCCTTTCAGAATCAACATTTACTGTAGAACGATACACTTCAAAATATTTGCCCTAATTGTCGGCCATTGATTCTTTGAATCTTTGGAGAAAAGCCAAACTTAAGACTCCACGATTCTAATTGGCAATAATTCAACCACATGAAATGATTCACTTAAGAGTGTGTCCATCAGGCAGGTGACTATAAAAGAGCATAATTGCATGCTGTCAGCAATGGCAACACATCGAAGAGAGGCAGGTGACTATAAAAGAGCATAATTACATGCTGTCAGCAATGGCAACAGATCGAAGATCGATGATTTTCTTTCTCAGGTTTTGGGACATTTTCCCAAAACCTGAGAAAGAAAATCATTTACATTGCATTTACATAAGAACAGCCAGGGCTACAAGAAGGTCAGCAAATCATTAAACATAAAACAGAATACTGTTGCAAAAGTGGCCCCAAAAATGAAAGAAAATGGAAGTGCATCCTTCTCTCAGAGACGTCCAGGCCGCCCCTGGAAGTTAACATCTCGACAGTAACGTCTCCCTGATGATGAGAAAGATGGAAGAAAACCGCCATGCAAGTTCACTGCAGTTAGCTAAAGAGGTAGAAAGCCAAACTGGAGGGACTATTTCTCGTGAGACAATACGAACTAAAGAAGCCTCTTAGATGCCTGATATAGAATTATATTCAATTACACATTTCTTCTGTCAGCGACCTGAAAAAAAAAAATTCTTTGGGCAACCTTACCATAACATCTTGTCAATCTGGTTGGTCATTTTGTTGTGTCTTGAAGGTTCCTCCAATAGCGTCCTCTACTCCTGTCCAAAGAGTGGAACCCACAGTCATCTCCAGTGTGCACCCCCAAGTCTCCTCCACTGTTGGCCCCAAGTCTTGCTACCCTCCTCCTTCTCCTCAACCTGCCGTCATCACTGCCAGGCCTACAACTCAAACCAATATCATTCCTTGTTCCAGAAACGAGTCCATTGGATTGAATGTAGCTGACTTCCTGCTGGTGAGTCTTCAAAAATGAAAAAAAAAAATCAAATCGTCAAACCATATTGAAAGACATTAAGTTGAATGTTTTTTTTGTAATCAGTTTTGCCCCAACAACAAACGGGCGGCCCTGACTGATGATGAGGCTTTGTCTCAAATCAAGAAAGGTCACGACACCATGTGTGTAATGCTGAGCAGCCGACTAAAGAACTTGGAGACGGTGCGTGCTGTTTGGATTAGGGAGGACGTGAAGGTAAGACGAAAAAAAGGTTGAAATTTTAAGCTGCTCTGCGTTCTTTATTTTTGATGGGTTGTGATTCACACCATAATACACACTTACTTTTACTAAACATTTATTGGCATCATATAAAAAAAATTATTGTCTAGATTATTGTCTAGCAAACTAAGGTCCAGGGGCTGGAGGCGGCCTGTTCGGCTTTTTAATCTGGCTCACCAAACTTTTTCAAATTATATAATTTATTTATATTATCATTACACTCACACCTTTTCCCCTCCAACACAACGACTATCTACAGTATCA